AACCCTAAACCCTAAACACCCAAAGAAAGCTTCAAATGCATCGGAACACGGAAGCCGGAAGCCGCAACCCGACAAGAAGAGGACAGCTCAAAGGAGTGTCTACTTCGGAGCGACGATCAGCTAAGAGCGGGTAGATAGTGGAAATGCTATCACGTAACAAGTGGGAGTTTCCGAAAGTTAGGGGTACCTCATTTTGGGGTCCTTATAATAAGGATCCTATTATTTAGGGTACTATATTGGGGTCCCCTATTTTCGGAAATCCACAAGTATAGCCAACACGGCAGCCTGACGTGGACCAGAACTTTTTGTGAAAGACCCTCTTCCCAGACACCCCACGGCAAAAACGAAACAAGCACCAAAACTCCCACTCTTTGCTCGCAAAGCAGTATAGCCACCAAACCCTAAAGATACCCCACCAGACTCAACCCTTGACCCAAGACCCTAAACCCAAAACTCAGGCAAACCCTAAACCCTTAAACCCTAAACCCCAAACCCTCGAAGTTGCGGCTCCTGCCCATGAAGGCCTAGCTCGTGCTGTATGCCCAGGTTGTAGAGTGCATCGGGCTCCCCCGCGGCTGCCGCTTCCTTTAGGGTTTAGGGTTTAGGGTTTAGGGTTTAGGGTTTGGGGTTTGGGGTTTAGGGTTTAGGGTTTCCTCGTACCACGGAGTGGTGCCCGTCGCCACCGCCTCGGGCGAGTCCTGCGGGGTGGATGCACCCAAGGTGTCGGGATCAGGATTTAGGCCCATTTGGATTTATTTCTTAGTGTGCAGAGCCAAGCAAAACCCTGAATCATCAAGAAACCCTAAACCCTAAACCCTAAAGGGTGTGAAAGGCAGCCGAGGTTTAGGCTCTAGTTGCTGCTTAAGATTGAGGGTTTAGTTAAGTGGGAGTTAAGGGCTTACTTGGATGTTCATGGGTAGTTATACGTGGAGTTATAAGTCCCCTAGTATAGGTTACAATTATAGTTACCCTACTTATAACCCTACTTATAACTACCCATGAACCTCCAAGTAGTCAAACTTTACGTGCTTACAAGAGGGTCCTTGAGCCAGAAGATGAGACTGTAACGACTGCCTTGTGTCACCTGCACAGGACTTTGGAACAGCTGATGACATCATCATGTTTTAGGGTTTTAGGGTTAGGGCTT